TTTCGAGAGACAGGGTTTCTCTGTAGATTTTGGAGCCTGTCCTAGGACTCGCTTTGTAGACAACGTTGGCCTCTAACTCCCAGAGATCCACCTGCCTCTACCTCCCAAGTGCTGGGATTAAAGGCGTGAGCCACCAACTGCCTGACCTTAGTGATACTACTTATTCATGATGTTTATATTGGTTGTTTTCAAATTTCAAATATCATAATTATAGATTTGGTTAAAGCTTATTTATAATAAGACAGTAATGACTATTAAGAATGAGACTGGCTGTGCGGCGCTTGCCTTTAATCCCAGCACTCAGGAGGTAGAGCCAGGTGGATCTCTCTGAGTTCGAGGCCAGCCTGGTATACAGAGTGAGATCCAGGACAGGCACCAAAGCTGCACAGAAAAACCCTGTCTTGAAAAACCAAAAAGAATGAAACCATAATTAGATCTTTTAAAATAGGTATTGGGCCAGGTGTTTTGGCACTTGCCTGTAATCCCAGCAATCGGGAAGATGGAACAGGAGGATCAAGCATTTAAGATTGTCCTCAGCTGTGTAGAGAGTTTGAGGCCATCCTGGGCTGTATGTGAACCCTGCCTGAAAAAAACCTAAGTACATGAAGGGTAGATTATTGAAAACTCAGTATGTTAATATTGTAAAGTTGGGGTGTAGTAGTCCTTTCTGACAGGCTGTTGAGTGTTTTTAAAATAGAGATGTTGTAATTATCAAGTCCTCTCTAGTAGTATTATTCTCTACATTCTTTCAGATTTTACAGTTTTCTCCTAATATCTTTAATAGTGTACAGTTTAATGGTGTTAGCACAAACTTTCGTGTGCATAACCTGACCCAATCTAATGTTAGGAGATTGTCATCATCCCCCAAAGGAACCCTGTAGTCAATAGTTAATCACTTTCTGGTCTTTCCTTGCCTTCAGCCCTGGGCAACTATAAGTTTACTTTCTGTCTCCAATTTGCATGTATATATCTTACTTTCATTTGTTTGTTTGAGGTTATTTGTTTTTGGGGGTTTTAGTCCTGGGGATTACACCTAAGGCCTTCTACATACAAAGAACATGCCCCAAAATGTTTTCTATGTTTTTTGTTTAGAGAGAGAGAGTGGGTGCTTATGCACATTCATAAACATCAATATGGAGGTCAGGAAACTTTCCTAATTATTACTTAGCTTGTTTGTTTGTTTGTTTGTTTGTTTGTTTGTTTGTTTAGAGATAGGGTAGCCTGGAGAGTCCTAGTAAGCTAGGCCAGTTTGTCAGCAAGCCCCAGGAATCCACCTGTCTCTGTCTCCCCACTGCTGAGGTTACAGGCTTGTAGCTCCACATCTGGCTTTTTCACATGGTGTCAAACTTGGTTTTGATGCCTTAAAGGCAACCATGTTCCCAAATGACCTGCCTCCTGGCCCCAGATGTGTTTGAAATTCCTTTTCCGAGAGCCACTAGAAACTGCTCACTTAATAGTAAAACAGGCAGTTCGCTGAATCCAGAGTTACAGTTCCATATTTCTGGGGCTGGATACTGGCTTAGCAGTGAGAACACCTACATGGGGACACACAAATGTCTGTAACTGCAGTTCTAGGTGGGATGCCCTCTTCGGGCCTCCACTGACACCAGACATGCACGTGGTGTACGTTCGTACATGCCAGCAAAGCACTCATCCGATTTTCTGAATTGTCTTTTCCAGATTTTATTGTGCAGTTTCTGGAGCAGCAAGTTTGTACTCTGAACTGGGATGTTGGTTTTGTTATACAGACCATGAATGACATTGGAGTGCCTCTACCTAGACTACTAGAAGTTTACGATCAGCTCTTCAAGTCACGGGTAAGGAAAATAAAATGATCTTCCCAGGTTTCCCAAGATACAGAATGAGGTATTTTGATCGCATGTTTGTGGGTATCTTATCATTTAGGCTAAATGCTTTCAATGGAGATTGGCTTCGACTGTGTAAGTAAAATCAACTTTGGACTCTTAACTGAGGGTTGCTTTGCTTTGAAATACTAATATTTCATATAGGTAAACATATAATTAACCAGGCGATAGTGGCGCACACCTGTAATCCCAGTACTTGCAAGGCAGAGGCAGGTAGATCTCTGTGAGTTTGAGGCCAGCCTGGTCTGCAGGGCAAGTTCCAAGACAGCCAGGGAGGGAGGGCTGTTACATAGAGTAACTTTTACCTAAAAAACAAACAAAAAAACTCATAAGTATATGCACTTACTCGTGTCTTAATAGTAAACCAAAGTAGGGGCTATTTCTGGGGATCAGATCTTAGGGCCTTGCATATGATTGCCAAGTGTCCTACCACGAGACTATAATCCCCCCCCTACTTGCTTTAAGCACATTTATTCATGTAACCTCATTTTTAAAGAAATCTTTTGTAGGGGATAGGGAGATCTTAGCCTAGAAGTAAAGTGCTTCTAGCCCAAGTTTGCTTCAAAGAACCCATATAAAAACTAAATGCAGCAGTGTATGTCTATAATCCCAATACTGGAGGGACAGACAGGTGCATCCTGGGGCCTTCTAGTCATGCCTTCCAGAATGTAGGTGATAACAGATTACGGTTCTGTGACTGCTAGGTTCTTTTACTCTAGGATCAGACTGCATAAATTCAAAGGAAAATGGGTCACAGCCCATAGAAATACCAGTTTTTCTTCAAGTTCATATTACATGTTCTAATGATAAATCAGTTATTCTTCCTAAAAAGTATCACAATGTGGTCTTTTATTATTTTTGTTTGTTGCTTTCTTGAGACAGGGTCTTACTATGTAGCAATGGCTGTCCTAGAACTCACTCTGTAGCCCAGGTTGGCCTCAGACTCACAGACATCTGCCTGTCTCTGCCTCTGGAGGACTAGGATTAAGGACATGTGCTACCATGTTCACTGGAGGACTAGGATTAAGGACATGTGCCACCATGTTCAGCTTCTTATGCTATTTAAAGAAATTTTGCTTGGATTCCAAAGACTTCTTTAATCAACATAAATAAATAGGAAAAATACACATACACACACATATATTTGATGAGTTGTAAGATAAACTGTGTCTGTGTATACATACATATTTTTTTCTCTTCATAGGATCCATTCTGGAACAGAGTGAAAAGGCCACTGCACCTTTTGGATTGTATCCATGTATTACTAACAAGATATGTTGAGAATCCAAGCCAAGTTTTAAATTGTGAGAGGTAATTATAAATTAAATAGTGTATTATAGAAAAAGGTTTAAGTGTTTCTAGTAAGTACCTGGGTAACAAGTTGAGAGTGGATATGGAATGCTCTTAGAACAGTGAGTGGTTCACAACCTTCCTAATGCTGCGACCCTTTAATACAGTTCTTCCTGTTGTGGTGACCCCCCCAAATAAAATTATTTTCATGGCTACTTCATAACTGTAATTTTGCTACTGTTATGAATTATGATGTAAATATATAATATGCCTTCCCCAAAGGGGTTGTTACCCACAGGTTAAGAACTACTGCTCTAGATCTTACAAAGAAGCATTAGAGAATTTCTTAGGTACGTTAGCAATAACTATTTAAATGATCACCTGACCATTAGCATTCATGAAAGATCAGAAAAATTTCAACCATGGTCCTAAATTTTCTAAAGTGAAAATAATTTACAACTACTTTATGCTCCTTCTTATGACCTAGGACCGAGACATTTCTATTATGTCTTTGTGGTATGATTTCAAGGAAAAGTCTTTTTGAAAGCTGAAAAGGTGTAAATAATTATAACAGGAATCATCCTCTAGTGCCTCCTCAGCTAACCGTCTTCAAATTGAAAATGGTGATTATAAGGTAGCTGACCTCCACCTTATTCCCCTCTCTGTTTCCTGCTACTTACCATTTACTGTGTTCTAATCCTTGCTTTCCAATGGGGCTGTTAGAAAGTTAATCAAAACCTGGTCTGAAGCAGCCTTTTGAAGGAAGTGGGTTTAAGTATAGGTGGTTGAGGGTCTAAATCAAGGGCTCAGAGATTAAGAGCACTTTCTGCTTTTGCAGAGGTCCTGAGTACAAGTTCCAGCACCCACACAGCAGCCACAGCCATTCATGGCAACAGCTGCAGGGTTCCTGGTGCCCTTTTCTAGCCCCCGAGGGTACTGGACATGCACATGGTGCACATACACACACGCTGGCAAAGCACTCCTACATGCAAAAATAGAAGAATAAATCATTATTTTAAAACAGAAGTAAACGGGTGACCTGATGTCTTTCCCTTACAGGAGAAGATTTACAAACCTCTGCCTGGATGCTGTCTGTGGTTACCTGGTTGAACTCCAGTCAATGAGTTCTTCGGGAGCAGTACAAGCCATCACTGGGAATTTTAAATCTCTCCAAGCAAAGTTGGAGCGGCTTCATTAATTACTGTAGTATATTTTTCTTTCTTGCATTTTGGTCTGTAAAATAAAAACTCAGCTGGGTCCAGAAATCAGGTGTTGTATATCTAAGAATTTTGGTAGAAATTTGTTTTTTAATAAGTGATTGTTAGCTACAAATAGTACATTTGCCAAATGAATTTTTTTTAATGACTAGTTTTTTGTTTTGTTTTGTTTTGTTGATTAGTTGGATCCAGGTATGTAGCTCAGTGGTGGAATGTTTGTGCAGTATGTAAAATGCCCTGGATTCAATTTCCAGCACTATACACCAACACATCAATTTGCAAAAAACTGAAATAAGATTATGTATGATTCTGACACACAAAGATAAAGTTCTTATTTTAAATTTTACTGCTAGCAACAATTTTGAATTTGTACTATTTATTTCCAGGTTTATCTATTATCAGTGATTAAACCAGCTCTTGGGAAGGCAATGGCAGACAGATTTCT